AGTCTGTATATGCAACATAAATTTTCTCAAGCATCCTAGAAAATGCCCAGGACAAAATCTCATATTTTTCCAGGGCAATGCTAAATGCATATTGACTATGAATTTGTTAACAACTTAAATAATCGTTGCAAGCTGCACAGAAGATGCAAGGAAGAAAAAGAACCTAAAATGAAGCAATGAGCGATTTTCCAAATACCTGTGACATGAAATGCTGCTGGACAAGGTCAACTAATTGCTCCTTTGATGGATTCGGGATGGCATCCACCTAACAACAATAACAAGGTTAAGAGATTAAAAGGTTTGGATACATGGAGTGTGAATGGTTTTATTTAATATTGCTCCAGGAAAGACTCACAAGATTGAAGTGTCGCCAATATCTCCATAGAGCAGCCATCTCGAGTTTGCTGAGGTCAACCTTCTACAAAGGAAACATTTGAAAATGGGAGAAAATTGAATAAGAGATAGCCAATCCATTTTTGCAATACTGTTTAAGCATAATAGACTTAAAGGACAATAATAGGAAGAGCTTTGTAAATAATATATATACCGTGGACCCACTCAGAGTTGAAATAGACCCCTTAGATTGGGAGTCACAAGAAAGAGACCTGCTCACAGTTTTGTGAGATGATCCAGTTGATTTATGTGTTCTATGCCTTGATTTGTGGGGCTTCTGAGTGTCATCAGATGCTGGAAAAATAAGAGAATAGAAACAAGCAGGATTAAAAAAAGGGTGGTGGGGCCAATGAAAAGATAAAGAAGGAAGATAATGGTGCTTTTAAAAATAGTGAAAGTAAAAGGTGCAGACACAATGGATCCTATGTAACAACTTCGACCACCTTTTTCTTGAAGAAATTATTTCCCAGTCATAATAAACTCATATTGAAGGAAACAGCTAATTAAAGCAATAAAGGATTATAGCACTACTCCCTCCATTCAATTTCCAACACCAAAGTCATGAACTCAAAATAGTAGTCAGAAAATCGCTTTCCCTTCTAGTGAAAAAGGAAATGTAAACACAGATTGGTTTACACTTCACCAAACTAGTTTGCCTTTGAAACAGTTGCAATGGAGAAAAAATGTGCCATTCAAGTCAACAAACTTTACCCATATCAGATCCATTCCACTGCATGTTTTCAAAATCGAGGTCATCGTCTTCCTCATTCCCAGTCGGAGCTCCGATTATTCTCAGGGCGTTCCTCTGTAGCTTAACCTCTATGCCATTGGTAAGGACCTGGGATTTTATTTAATAGGAAAAACAAATATATGTATTAGGTAGAAATCAAAGGCATAATATGATTATGTGTGTCACTAAACGGGCAGACATGCAGACATAAATTCCTCATTGAAAAGAGGATAATCATATGGCAAGGAAAATGTGATTCCAATTTGACCCGTTAATTAAATTCTGAAATTGGATAAATATGAGACAAAAATATATAGAAATAATTAAAAGAAATTTATTTGAGAACAAATGGGCAAATAAACCTCAAATTACAGGCATGCAAGAAATTTTCAGAACTGCTTATGGCGTCGAAATTTTATTTTTTTGAATATGAGATGTGGAAAGTTTATCAAGGAATCAAGATTTAAAATAAAAATAATCATCCAATAAATAAAAAAAAATAAAATAAACGACAGAAAATGATACAAAATTGCGACTCAAATGCTAAATTAATACCCAATATTACACGAAATTGTTGAAAGGACCGGAATCATTGAAAGAAACCAACATGCAATCAGAACCCACATCCCAAATCTCAAAATTGGAACTTGAAACTGAAACCGATTCTAAATTCACCCAAACTACACATTGAAACATCAAAATTTGCAAATTTATCTAAAAATAGCTCTGAGGCAGGACATGCAATGACATTACAGAGGAAAACATTCATCATTAGAATTATGAAAAAAAAAAGGAAAGAAAAACAAACAAATCTATTGAAATTCACAGCCATGCTTATTCAAATCCAAATTCAGAAACACGAATTAGACTCGCATTAATGCAAAACACCAAATTCAGAGTACAATCATGGAAACAAAGAAATCACAGCCAAAATCCCAAAAAGCTAAAACTCATTCATTCCCAAGAAATAAAATCTAAATCCGGATAATTACCAGCCAATGCCATCCGCCAAGCCCAACTGCCTTCTTCACCACACCCTCGAGACCCACCAGCACAGACTTAGTTCGGTTATTCCCAGTCACAACCACCTTAGTGTGACGCGGCAGCACCGAGAGCTCCTCCTCGCTGCTATCCCCACAGCTCTGCAACTGCGAGAAACCGCCATTGACGGAATTCTCCATTTCCTCTAGCATTTCCCTGCTTCAGCTTCAACTTCCAACTCAGTGAGGCGATGATCAAAAAATCCCAATGAAAGACCCAAACGTCACCCCTCAAAATTCCATTTGATCGGAAGATCACGCATTGGTGAACACGTCTATGGAATTTTCAAAAGCAAATGAGAAAGAAATCAAGAAGAAATTCAAGAACTTTGCAGAGAGAAAAAACACAGTCCGGAAAGAGAGAGAAAGTAGACAGAGAGAGAGAGAGAGAGCCTGTTGTGTGTGAGAGACAGAGAGAGAGAAATGAGAGTGACTGGTTTTATTTTTATTTTTTAATTTCTTTTTTAAAAAAAATTTAAAGTGACTGGTTTTGGATTGGTTGTGTTGCTGTGAATCCCGACGACCCAAAACGAACCAATGGAATGATGACACGTAGGGTTGTATAGTTCTCGTCAATCATGCACTACGAAGTGGGAACGCTTCGGTTGCGGCATGATTCAAATGCCGCTAGTGGTTTTGGATAACTGGTTGTTTTCTCCGTGGTGGGTTGACCGGTTGACTGCGGTAAAAATGATGTTGTGGGCTTTGAAATGACTATTTTACCCTTACTAATATTCCAAAAAAATTTATATAAAATATACTTTAATAT